CTGCCGCCGGCCCCCAGTCGCTGGGGAGAATGGAGCTCAGAGCAAAGCAGAGTGCCAAGGAATTCTGAAGTCTTCACCCAACCCCTCGTCCATTTCAGAGATGGAGCGACCAAGGAATGGGAGTCGGGAATGACTCGTCTCAATGACTGGTCACAGCTGGCACTGCACTGGCTACTTCATGTTGTTATCGCATCCGCCCAGCAGCTTCTGGAGAGGGGTGTGTGCTATTTCACGGGTAAGAAAGCTTGAAGTCAAGTAGGTGCAAATAGAAATGGCACAGTTTGAACTGGAGGTCTGCCTGACTCCCGTCCACACGGCCTGCACCCCTGGAGGCAGATCCTATGGCCACGTCAGAGGGAAAGGCTGTCCCAGGGAGGGCTGGGGTGGAGAGACGGGAGCTGCCATCTCAGCCCCGCAGGGACCTGCTCTGTGGCCTTGGGCAGCCCCCTTCCTCTCTCTTGCCTCAGTCTGGCATGTTGCCTCCTCTGTGCTGGGAGTGGGGACGTGGCAACGAGTCAGGCCAGGTGCCCATCAGGTGGTACCTGTTCTCACCATTTGGAGGTCATGAACCCAAGCCCCTGACCCTGTCTAGCACTCAGTCCCTCACCAGCACAGGCAGAGGAGGAGGACAGACAGGCGGACAAGTTTCCCCAACCTCCGCATCCAGATAGCCCTGTGATGCTTGGCCTCTGACCTTAGACGCCACCCCCGCCCTTGGCCAACCCAGCCTGTTTTGGGGCTGGCTGAATTTGGAGGCTGGCTTCTTTGTTCACACAAACAGGAGGGAAGAGGAAAGCTGTTTTCCAGGCAGTGAAGCTTTCAGATAAACACCATTTGTCTCTCTCCATTCCCTCCTGAAGGAATAGAGTTCCTTCAGACAAGAAACTAGATCCACTGGCTGATAGCGCCCCAGGGACGGAAGTGCAGCCCGGGGCCTGGCCTGGGAAGCCGGACACTGAAGGAGGCTTTCTTTATCCAGCTGAGCACCTGCTGCCAGCTCTGGCAGGTCTGCAGCTCAGGTGACTGGGCCCTGGTGCCAGGCCATGGCCCTGCCAGCTCCCAGGATCCAGGATGGCCTGGCCACCTCCTCACCCTTCCCACCAGCCACCCACTTGCTTGCCTGCCCATCCGGATCCGCCAGGATGGTGAGAACTTCTGCTCACCTTGGGGCAACCCCTTCCTCCTGGAGTGGCCCTCCTGGAGCACTCCTCCCTGTCCAGACCTCAGGAGCAGCCCAGCCCCTAGGCTGGCAGAGGAGAGTTAACAGCTGGCTGTATCCATGACACCTCCTTGCCCACCTAGTCGGGTATAGTCAGGAATGACCATGGGCCCATTCTACAGAGGAAGAAACTGAAACCCAGAAGGGGCTTTGACCTGTCCAGAGCCACAGAGCAGAGTGACAGAGCTGACACCCCTCCCCCCAGACCCTGGAGCTCCCTGGGTCCTTCTGACCCCATCCCAGCATGGCTCACCGGTGTAGTGTCATCGTGGGAGCGCTGGTAGCGTTTCCAGCGGCAGCCGTAGATGCCTGTGAGGCAGGAGAGGCACAGCTGTGGCTCATAGTACTGCAGGGGCTGGTGTCTCACCATGCTCGTGCCCAAGGCCCTGGCGCCCGGCCCTCAGGCGCCCATGGAGGCCACCGGCTGGTCCTGTGGGAGGAAGCACAGAGCTGTGAGGCAGGGGAGGGGCAAGGAGCTAGCCCCAGACACAGCAAAAGTCATTGCAGCCTGGGTCAGGGCAGGTCAGCCTCTGCACAGAGCCCTGTAGTAGGTCCCAGTCTCACTCGGAGTTGCACAGTCCCCTGCCCTCCACACCTGACCTAATCACCCCCCGCCTCCAGCCACACTTGCCCAGCACACTGCTGCTGCTTCCTCTGCCTGGACTGCTCTCCCCTTAGAACCATGCGTGGCTCCCTCCTTCTCCTCCTCTCCTCAGGCCTTTGCTCAAATGTCCTTTTTGCAACCAGGCTTGCCCAGGTCACCTTCTGTAAAACTGTAACATCTCCCCACTCCCTCAGCCATTCTCAGCTTTTTCTCTATCGTGTTCTCAAATATAATTGACTTATTTTGTTTCTTGTCTGCCTACCCCCCTATAATGTAAGTTTCACAAAGGCAAGGATTTTGTCTGTTTTATTCTCTGCTGTATCCCCAGAAACTAGAATAGTGCCTAGCACATAGTAGGCTTTCAAAATAAATATTTTAGAGGGCTGGCCCGGTGGTGCAGCGGTTAAGTTCACA